ATAGCTCCTACTGATCCCCTTCCATCCCCTATAATTGTAGCCCCCACTAACCATCATGCCTCATAACCCTTGTGGCCCCCCTGCTTCAATATCTACAGTCCTTGCTGAACTTCCCCACCTGCCCATTATTCACAACCCCCACTGAACCCAGCTCCATGTATGGTTATACATGAACACAATTAGCGTATTTGTAATTTTATCTGAACTTCTATGTCCATTTGTGACTCTGAGATTTTCATTGAAATCCTAACACTTCCCCCTGCACACCTGTGAATAGATGAGTCTCCCCCTGGATTCCACACTCCTATCACTCCTTCAGTTTTGTCAAATCCCCCACATTATTATCTATGACCTTATACAGTTAGCTTTGTGGGTAGCACTTGCAATTATTAGCAGTGCCCTCAACATGACTACTTGTGGAGTTATCCACGGCCCTCACTGAACATGTGACCTTCCATCCCATATTTCAATACAGTAATAATCCCCTTCCCCGGTGAGAATCATTAACCTGTTTTCTCAGTTTTTTGTTCCTGTCTTCCCCATACCCCAGAGACTTTTGAAGACCCAATTGCTTCTCCCAATCTGCACATATCAGCAGTATTATTGTTCAGTCTGACCTTGCTCTCACTAGTGCCCTTTGTAGCAGTTGTTCACCCACCATTGGAGCAACTCTACTGGTGGTACTAATGGTGGAAGCTGTAGAGTGACCATTACTTGGAAAGTCCAAATACAAAACTTAATAGTATAGATATCACCTGTGTTTGCAAACTCAGGTGAGGTAAGGGGGGGGGAGGGGCGGGGGGAAGATGAGGTGAACCCTGGCTTATATATAGAGAGAGGACAGATTTTCTTTTCTAACCTACAGAAAGATGCCCCTGCTAAGAGCTGTGTCAATACCAGGTTATTTGCAACATACTACGCTTACCAAAGAAAAGTAAACATTGAACTGATCTCAGCTCCTCACTTAAAGTCAAGTGCTTTGCCCACTGAAATCAAAACAAATAAGTTACTCTTTGCCCTAATTGGACCTTGATTTCTGAAAATAGTGATCTCAATGCAGTAAGCCAGTCTTGCTGTTTTGTTTTAGTGTGGGTTTCTGTTGTGAAATCTATTCTCTGGATATAAACTGAGAGAATTCCAAAATTTAAGACATACTGGATTTTTTTCTTTCAAATAAATGACCCAAACCTGAAACCGACAAATCTTGCAATTGTTTTCGTTGCACAACAAAATGCACAGTGAAGAGTTTTAGCAAATACTTGAAATTTCACTCTGTGTGAGTGTGTGTGTGTGTGTGTGTATATATATATATATATATATATATATATATATATATACACACACT